AGAAGAACTGAAGATGAAGACTCAACCAAGAGAACGAAGCAAAGATGACATCATTTGCAGTAAAGAATCGACGATTTCACAGAAGGAGAAGAATTGACATTCCCCATTGAAGAGTTCGCAGCGTGACAAGAAGAGACCAAGATGAAAAATGTTGCTTTATTATCTTTGCTCCATTCCCGTTCCACAGCAATGAGCAAAGAGGGGCATCTGTAAATCCCATTTTTCAACACCAACACCCACACCCACCATCCCATTTTTTTCAACACCAACCCCATCATCCATTGTTCCCTGCGAGAATCAAGGCATAACCAACTGAAAAATTATTGTAAACTTGACTATAAAAGTCGAACGCATGTAATGAAACGAGAAGGATTTTCTCTCCGATTTTTTTCAGAGAAATACAAGCATTTTATGGGTAAATTTTATTTTCGTATTCAAATTCTGATTTTTTTACTCTATGCTATTACGAGAAAATACTAAAATAATTTAGAATCAGAGAAAAAAATAAAAATCAGATTATTCCAATGTATTTTGAATATTTTTTTAGTTTCGAATCTAATATATATTTTTTTGAAGCTTTGCATGTAAAATAAGAAGGAAAGAGAGTGAGTAGATTATTACCTTAGAAGAGTGTCGATCGAGGCGGTTCACAGTGGTGGCCATGGTGGTTCATGGCCACCGATCGTTTATTCCACGAAGTAAAAATGAAATAGAAAAAGAGGGAGAAAGTTGAGAGAAATAAAGAGAAGATGAGAGGAAAATGGAAAACCAATGCGCAGAAATGATTCTGGGAAGGGGAAAAAGTAAAGTTATTTTGGGTTTTGGGCTAATCACGTGTCAAGTCATTCATTTTAATATGTTTCATGTTTTAGTTTAAGTGTTAGGGTAAATATCATACTAGGTCCTCATAGTTTTAGCGTGTTTTGCATTTAGATCACTAGTTTTAGGTTAAATCATTTTATTGGTCCTTTAAGTTTAATGTGATATGCATTTTAGTCGTTTTTAGGGTTAATCGTGCCTTAGGTCCCTTCAAGTTTAGCTTTTTTTGTGTTTTGGTCACCATTTTCTTTTATTTTACATGATTTTCGAATTGGCTACTTTGTTTTGTATTATTTTAATTTAGTCCACTATTGTATGTATTATTTGTGTTCGAAATGGGGTACTGATGTTTATGATATTCCATTTTAGTCCTATATTTATTGTTTTACTACGATTCTAGTGCTCTTGTTATGTGATTTTATTGTTTCATGCCATGATATTTATTTTTATTAATGTTTATAATCTTAAAATTATTTTTCACTCATTTTTGTCACTAAGATATTAATGAATATATATGTATATTGTTTATTTGTACCATTAAAGTATGTTTTATATTTTAGATATTTATTTTACTTATATTATTATATATTACTTGATTATATACATAATATTGTATGTAGAGCATGATAAATATTATATTTTATATTTTAGAATAAATATTATGTCCTACGTTTAATATCATATTTAGAAAATATGTATTTATTTATAAAGTAAAACAAAGTTAAAATTAACCTTAATGTGTATATATATATATTTTTTAAATATATCGATGTATCATATTTTATTCTGTTTAAAAATAACCTTAGACTTTTAAATCTTTTAGGTCTGATATTTTAATTCTTTGACATGTTTATTCCCCGAAATACGTTTAGACATTTAATATTGACATAATTAAATATGTTAAATAGAGCCTCCATTTTAGGTTAGATTTCAAACTAGTCTTTAATTTAGGGGATAATTCGAGTTGGCCCTCGCGTAAACGCTCGAGGGACTATATCGGTTATTCGATTCAATAATTATTTAAAATCAAGTAGGATTAATACTAGATCCTAAATTTTTAGATTTTAGCCCCTAGGTTCTTTAATTTTCATAATTTGACACTTTAAGTTAGAAAAAGCCTTAATTTACATTTAGTTTAATTAGGACAAATAAAATTTTGTTTGATTGCATTATTTTTACAAATCTAAGACACTGTTTACTTATTAAAGAATTAATAGTATATCTCTCGCAATCGTGCTCAGGGGGTGACTACTGGTAATTCCCTAAATAAGTCGGCATCATTTTCAAAACTACATCATGTTTTTCTAAAAACGAGGCAATGTTCGGTTATTAGGCACAATAGTTGATCTCTCGCCTTTACGCTCGGGGGCGAATGCTATTGGTCTCAATAAACGAATACCCTTTTCAAACTTTGCATCCTTAATGATTTTTAAATTAAATAAAGATCGAACTCAAAGTTTCTGATTTTAAATACAGGGTAATCAACTAGGTACCAATTTTTGGGCGCTTGTGGGGGTGCTAATACTTCCCAACGTGTAACTGACTCCCGAACATGTTTTCTAGATTTTTGCAGACCCCAAAAGTCGGTATTTTATTAAAATAAAATGTTTTATTAAAATTATCTAATTTTTATGGTGTTCTAATCTCACCTTAAATGATTGGTGACGACTCCTCACATTTCAAAAATATTTTCAAAGAGAAAATCCTGAATTAATATCGATCTTTTTCCGCCCGAACGAAAAACGGTGTCGACAAGATTGTAATTGCGTTGAATGAGGTGGTTAGGGCTGGCGATTCATCTTTGAGAAATGATGACAAGGAGAAATCAATGTGGAGCTGCCATTCTTGAATCAAATAACTAAAGGCTGATAAATTCTTTCAAAAGTGGGAAACTACTGCCAGCGCATTGGTTCCCAAAACGACGAGCATGAGGGTTTTTAATATATTTGAATTTGATTTTGGTATAATATTTTTCACTTATCACATGATCCAATTTGAATTCAATAAAATTTCACTCAAATCGAGACTTGTCGTATTTTTTTTTTATCAAAATTCACATCCAATCTGATCTCTCACAATTATAGAATTCTCATTTTTATTAAATAAAATAGAGACGTTTTAAAAAAGACTTAATATAAAAATAATAGTTCAAACTACATATATTTTTTCATTAAGTGCTTAAACTTTTTATGTTAATTTTGGTGTCTAATGTTTTTAATGTTAACATTTAGGTGCTTACATCGTAACGGACATTAAAAATAAGTCAATCAATCAACATTTGACACATGATTTGATTTTTTTTATTTTAATGTTTTAAAAATAAAATTTATAATTTTTTTATTATAAAAAACTCCAACTTTTCCTATTTTTCATAAAATAGCTCAAGACTTTCAATTTTAGCACCGACCACCACCACTGCTATTGATCATCGATTTACTCGCCGACCACTCACCCAACTATTGTGATTGATGGCTGTTGGGGTTTAAAGTTTAGAGATTTGAAACCACGATTGATGGTGACGATGGGTGGGTAGGCAGTCGGTGGGAGCGGCAACGACGACGAACAACCAACAGGTACGGTGGATGCTTTGGGATTAAGGATTTTGGAACTTATTTGAAATGTTAAAAATATTTGTGAGATTTTATATAATTATAATTTTAAGTTTTTTAAAATAATTTTTAAAAATTCATAAGTGCGTCATATGTCACATTCTAAGTGATTGACGAAATTTTTTTAACGTATGATACAATGAGGCACCTTAATGATAAAATTGGAAACATTATGCACATAATTTGACTAAAAAAAGTTTAGGTACCTAAATAGAAAAAATATATAATTTATGAACTTATTTTTATATGAAGCCAAAAAAAAAATAAAGAAATAGATATTATAGCAATTATTCTTAAATATATAAAGGTTAATTATATTATTTTTCTCAGATCAAGTTAAATATTTTTATCCTAAATTCAAAATTATCTCAACCACATCTTTTAGAAAATCTGACCCAAACTCTATTATTTTTTTTATAGAAAAACTCAACTTTATAATGTCGAAATCAATTGAGTTTAGGTTAAATGCCCATATGCGATTCCCTTGCATTCGAAAAATGATGTTTATTTTATTATTGTATGAATAGAAATAGATTGGAAGATGAATCTATCAAGTGGTATCAGTGGTATAAAAGAATATTATTCTCTCTAACGGTCTTGAGTTTGAAAACTAAGTCTACAAGAAGTGTGCATTATTAATTAATTAAGAAAATTCATAAAAAATACTATTTAAAAAATAGATAGAAGGATACTGCACGATAATTATACATCTCGAAAATTTAACTTTATCCTTAAAAAAGGCATAATGTAAAAATAAGTGTTCTAACTATATCCAAAGTTAACTTGAGATGACTAATTTTTTTTATGAAGAGGTGTATAATGTTTTCTCCATGTTTATATCATAACGACTTTTAAAAATCGATTAAATAATACATGTATTGTTTATATTTTTAAAAATTTTAATTTTTACTTTTAAAAAAATTAAAAAAAAATTATCGTCCCCTCCCTTCCACTTCATGTAATTTTTACACTTACGAGCGACGAGTATACAACGTATTTTTAAAGTAAACTATAGGTTCAATCACTTTCGTTTGAGTTTTATAAACTTATTATCACTGAATTTAAAAGACATAATACATAGCTACTTTAATTTTATTTTAATTAAGATGTAATAACTGAAATATTAATTTATATTAGTTTAATGACGTGACCATGTTAGTAAAAAAAATTCTCAACTTGAAAGCAACTCTAGAGGCCCATTAAAAAAATAAACTAAAATTTTGTTAAAGGATTAAAATTAAAATTAATTTTTTTACTAACATACCAGGTGATTAAACTAATAAAAATCAATGTTTCAATAATCATATCCTAATTAAAATAAAACAAAAATAAATTATGTATTTTCAAATACAATGATCATTAATTTATAAAATTCAAACGAAAATTACTAAATATATAATTTACCTTATTTTTTTGTCAACATGGATTATTTTCTTGTATATATCCAAATTACTTTATCATTTATTTCAACTGACACGTCTACTCACGAGTCACGTGTCGAATTCTTGCGATCTGTCATTCCTTGGCCAAGCTTTGATAAAAAACCACTATAAAAATTTCCCCAACTTCATCCAAAATAATTTTCAATTCTCACCCAAATGCAAAACACCAGTTTTCTAATACCCCTTTTGTTTTCGATAGCGGTCACAATCCTCTTCCTCAACAATTTATCCGTTGAATCAGCTTTCTGCTCCGACTCAATGGCGACAACCACCAATTTGGGAGGAGTCTGCCCTTCCCAGGGATCCCAAAACAGCGCCGAGCTGGAAAACCTCGCTCGCTTTGCCGTCGACGAGCACAACAAGAAAGGAAATGCGATGGTCGAGTTTGTGAGGCTCGTGAAAGCAAGCGAACAAGTGGTGGCTGGGACGCTTCACCATTTGACGGTGGAGGCTATGGACGCTGGCAAAAAGCTTTATGAAGCCAAAGTTTGGGTTAAGCCTTGGATGGACTTTAAAGAACTGCAGGAGTTCAAACATGCTGGCGACGCTGATAATTGCCCTTCTTTCACCGCTTCGGACCTGGGTGCCAAGAAAGGTGATTCGTTCTCACCTTTTTTTTAATTACTTTTTTTTGTAGTAAATTACTGGGTTTTCTTTGAAATGAAGATTCATTGATTGCTGAAAGTGGATTAAAATAGTGTAATATTTTTTTAGATGTGTTCTTTGTTGAAAAATTGTGGAATTTTTGTTCTTGTAAATAGATTAAAGTATTTATAATTTCGTTTAAAAATTAGGGTTCTTATTGATTGTAAATATATAACAGTGGTAGGGAATTAAATATAACTACTTTTAACAAAGTAATATAGTCTTATGAATAGTTTCATTTGTAACTTTATTGACAATTTATATATAAATTATAATCAGGTGTCCCTGGACCAATGCTGCAAGCTGTGGCCACGGACGATCCTGTAGTTCGGGATGCGGCGAATCATGCTGTTAAGAGCATACAACAGAGATCCAATTCCCTGCTGCCTTATGAACTTAAAGAAATCGTTCATGCCAACGCCGAAGTAAGCACTGAACAACTGTTCCTATTCCCTTGTTTTTTTGTCCTGTTTTGAATGTATGATTATTATGTGATTTGGCTATTTAAACTGCATCCCGTTGAATGTGGTGTTTAAGAATCTTACAACAGTTAGAGCATATAATGTAACCATTCAAGGACTCCAAATGCATAAGTATTATAATCGTGTCCAGAGTAGAATAGGTTAGTTGCGTGTTTAATGATTGAAAATGTGTCGTACAATGCTTTTAATCATCTCTACATGTTTGGTTATTTCACATTTCATGAAGAATGGTTATATTACTCAGACTATTTATATTTTGTTGAACACCCGTGTACATCATCTCTGTCCAACCCATATCATTACATTGGTTTTAGAATGTGACCCTTCAAGGCTTCAAAGATTTTTCAGTTGCATGGAAAAAAGTTAGGAAAGTTGTACATTGGTCGCATACACTTGCGAATCTGGAACTCATACCCGAGCCCGAGTAACATAGAAGAATGGTATCATTTCAGATTTTTGGTCTCCACACAATGAGCTTCTGGTTCATCATCATTTTTTTATTGTGAAACTCTAGATTATGCTTGAAAATTTTGTTCACCTTTTAAGGTTTTCAGGGTATCGTGCAATGATCCATTCTAGTTGACAATCAATCAAACATATGGTTGAAACAATTTTAAACTCAATTCTTTGCGAAAGCTATCGTGGTTTGTTTGGGTGCTAAGTGTTTGAATTTGCAAATAGGTATTGGAAGATTCTGCTAAACTCAACATGCTTCTCAAGTTGAAGAGAGGAGACAAGGAAGAGAAGTTCAAGGTGGAGGTTCACCATAAGAGCGAAGGGACTTACCATCTGAGCCACATGGAGCACGACCACTCTTGAAAGCTAATGTTATGGTAAATCGTCAGAGTTTGAAACTAAAAATTACGGTATGACTATAAAAATAGTATCATGTGCTCATCTTCGCTATGTCGAACCTATGTTTGTAAGAATGTTTTATAAGGACGTCGCTGATCTTCAGAAAATGTATGATACGATTATAGAAATAGTTTGAACCTCGTATCATGTGCTCACCTTTACTCCTCTGTCAAACCTATGTTTGTAAGAATGTATATCTTTGTATGAAAGTCGCTAATCTTCGGGTTATGTATCGACCTCTTGATATATGGTGTTTGTCTTTGCAATTTTTTAGTGCTATGGACTATGTTTACAAGAAATCTAACATTTCATAGGAATCCTCCACAACTACTTATCCTTCCTCATCATAATTTTCTTCATCCTCATCTAACCTTCTGCCGAACTGATTGCGAGACAGATGCATATGACCAAATAAATCATTTTATATCAACTGAAAGGTGAAAGAAGGAATCCATGCTTTCTCAAACAACCTTATGGAAATAATTGGATCATCAGGAGCAGCATCGGAATGACTGTACAGACAATGTAAAATCAAATACTACAATTATAGCATTGTGCTCAATGCCTTCTGCAGTTTATTTGGATGTTGGCTGTTAACTGAATTTGACAAAATTTTCTAATCTACACCCAATTGAACCCATATGAGAAAACAAACGGTTTAATGAAAACAATAGTTAACTGGTAATAGAGGGTAACAAAAGGGGTCAATCATTATTTTTTCTTACATTAAAAATAATAAATTCATGTATCAGATATGTAACATTTTACTACATTAGATTTCACATTGGACTAAAAAGATGTGTTGCGTTGCATTAGGAAAGTGTCAAACTTACGCTAAAAAATTAATAGAATTATTGTACTTTATAGTGATATATCATCATCATTTATAGTGATATATCAACATCATACGGATGATCAAAATGAAACTAAAACTGAATGTTAAGAATGAATTAAAAATAATAATTGAATGATCATATTAAATGTGTAGTTTACTCTTCTTTATAATTAAATTTAAACAAACAATTACCGTTATAGTGCATTATGAATCTGGATCATACTAGAGTCTATATTGTAAGGTTTTGAATTTCTCACAACATACATGAATCGAACTTGAACCCACATAAAATTTGTTTTTGGACGAGTGGCATGAATAATATGTTTATTTAAATTGAGGGTTTATAACTTATAGTTAAATTAAGGTTCAGAGTGTATAATACAGGCATTAAATTCAGGAAAGAATTGGGATCTTAACTCCAATTACTTTTGGTTAAATTTGGGGAAGAACAGCTTGATTCCAATTAGGTTTTGAGACGAAATTGGGTAACATCTGTGAATATTACTATATTTTACTTTTAACCAGCTTCGTTCTTATCTTTAATGACAGTAAAATTAATTAACGACTTAAATCTTTATTCCCCAAGTTTATACCTTCTAAACTCTTCTGTTTCCTTACTTGCGAATCACACAAATTAGAGGAACTTCATTACCAAATTTAGATTAAACTATATACACTATCTACTATACAATTTAGGATAAATTAACTTTTGCCCCCTGAACTTGACAACTATTTTCTATTTGGTCCTTGAACTTTTTTCCGATCCACATTAATATCTGAACTTAGTTTTTTTTTGTCCTTCTAATGATGTAATACTATTACGTACTGCCACGTCTCACAACCTTATGATGTTGTATTATCAAAAGGACTAAAATGAAAAAGTTGCCAAGTTAAGGGAATGTGAACAAAAAAATAAGGATAAAGTTGAAAATTTACCAAATATAAGGTTTTAAAGTACACCCGTATCTATTTGACATTGAAAGCTCATGCATTTAACATTCATGATACTTGAACCTAAAATTTCAAAAAATAACAACAATTCATTTATCACTGAGTTCGTTTAGTTCGTGCGAGTTTTAACATTCTTACCTTCACATTTAAATACTTTTTTTTATTTATTCTCAAATAAATCAAAAGAAAACCATGGATTTATTGCTTTCAAATCAAAGCATATAAGAGTTCGATCACTATTTTCAAATAAGATAAAGTACACCCGTATCCATTTAACTACGAGGAATTTTAATATAATTATGTATCTTTTAATTTTGTTAATCAAATCATTTAACTATTTAAATAATATCAATCAAGTCATTTTTATTAATGTTTGAGGAGTTGATGCGTCAACCAACAAAATCGATATAATTATACATTTGGTCCTTATTACTACCTTTATTGTGTTGGTTCTATTTTTTATCTTAGTTCAATAAAATTAACTAAATCAAATTAGGACCAAATTGATTGGAGGATTAAATTTATTAAAGTAAAATAAAATTAAGACCAAATTGATAGACGTGTAAGTCTGATGATAAAATGTATAATTATATCAATTTTATTAGCTGTCTTAGTTGCTTCGTCAAATGGTAACTACACGTGACTTGATTGATGTAATTTAAATAGTTAAGTTATTTGATTAACAAAATTGAAAGATCGATGGTCAAATTAGAATCCCCTATAATTAAGTAATCACATATATAGTTTATCCATTAAAGTAAGATCCATATTAAATTTTTATTATAATTTTGAATGAGCTCGAGATTTAACTAAACCGATTATATATCGTAAATATAAAATACTAATATTAATATCTACAAAACTTTCAATTATCATCAAATTACACAACTCTTTCATAAAATCATGATATTGTCAAACAAAAAAATCATGAATTTTTATGGTAGATAAAGGAAGAGAGAAATAGAAAGAGCAAATATGCATGGGAAGTTGTTACTATATAAACTATATATGTGGGAACTTCTCTGTTACATTCAAACGAAGTATACTCTGATAAAAAAAAGTATACATAAATGTTAATTCACGATGTATATATAAAATCAATTAATTTTACATATTATAATATATATTTTATTTACTATAAAAATGATATAATTTCTAAGTAGAGATAAATATCCTTGATTTTATATGTAAACAGTAATTTGGTAAAGATTCATGCATGACTGTCCACAAAATTTAATTTAATCATTTTATAGAAATTCCACCTATTAATTAGGTAATTGCGTTCATATATTACTTTGAAAAATAATATTAATTAAGAAGAATTTTATGGAAATAATAGTAATAATTCCCAAAGGCACCAAAATCTGAACAAGTTCCTAGTATGTTTCTAAATCTTGTGTTAAAATGATGCAAGTAACAAAATAATTTATATTTTAGATCACTAAACTTAATTTCAATTTTCATTTAGATCATAAATCTTTTATTTTAATTAAATTGCATCATTCAATTTTTATTATTACTAAATTAAGTTACTTATACTTGCATAGTAAAATAATTATATAGATAAATAATTATAACGAATAAACTGAAATTGATTCTTTCATTTACTATATTTTCATTATTGTCTAATAATATTTAATTGATATTCTAAATATTTTTTTGTGAAAATTTTCTCAAACATTTCATCTAAGTAAATTCAAATGAAAAAGAACTAATTTTTTTAATAAATTCTAACATAAATATTTTTAAAATGTCAATTAAACATTATTTATTAATAATATAAAAAGTATATTAGAAAAAAGTCTCAATTTAGTTTTTTAATTATAATTATTTAATGATGTTAGTATAAATGGCTTAATTTATTATTAATATTTTTTAATCATAAAAGTTAAACGATGTAATTTGATTAAATAAAAAGTTTGTGATCTAAAAGAAAGTTAAATTAAATTTAATGATCTAGAATGCAAATTATCACACGTAACAACTTCACACTCGGATTTCTTTCCATAATTGCATGATATTACATAAATTAAGCCCTTGATATGAATATATATATATATATGATATAAACACCACGCTCATTATTTCACGTACAACCAAGAAATCTATAAGCTGGCAATGGTTACAATAGTTGAAGATCTTGCAGAACTTACCAGCATATCAGCAGACATGGAAGGATTGGTTTCGCAGTCGAAACCGAGTACCGAAATCGAATCAAGTCACAGTGTTTTGCTCGATCTGAAGCTCTCGAATCATGACGGCATCAACGGAAGCAATCGCATCAAGGAACGACGCGAATCGAAGATCGAACTCGATCTTTTTGCCCCTAGGAACCCTCAGGGTGATGATCAGAAAAACAAGGGTTTCTCATGCAACTTTTGCAAGCGAGTTTTCTCGACATCTCAAGCCTTAGGGGGACACCAAAACGCTCACAAGCAAGAACGTGCCTTAGCCAAGAGGCGTCACCAAGGGCTGATTGAAGTGAATCCATCTGGCACTTTCAGTCCCCCAAACTTTTCTTATCATTCATTTTCGTCCTACTCTTCCAACCCTTTTCATGGATCTTTCAACAGATCATCCCTCGGTGTTCAGCTCAACTCCATGATTCGTAAACCTTCGCACCAGTGGCCGTCATTGTCTCGACCGTATCATCTTCCCTACGGTCTGTCACCTCGGAAACCCCTAAAGAGCATTTTACAGCCAAGTTTAAGCTTCAATAATGGTGAACTTGGAATCTCAGGACCTTCAACTAGCGCAGTAACAGGGCTGCTGCAAGTGCAAGCACTTCTTTGAGAACTGATAATCAATACAAGGATGGTTCAGAAATTGATTTATCCCTTAAGCTTTAATTATTGTTTTATTGCTCATTTTATTTTAATTAATTTGTTTTATTGTTGTACTTGTGTGCTTGCAGTTTAAATGTTTATCCTTTAAATGAATAAGTGACTTGTGAAATTCAGAATATAATATTTGCTTGATTATTGCATATTTATTAAATCTGTTCATGGTTTGGACAGTTAATTTTATTTTATCCAAGTTCAAATGTTGTTTCATTATTTAAAAAATAATATAATATATAATTTATTAAGTTGATAAAAGAGCATATTGATTTGTTGAGTTTGACGAGAATAAAAATTCATGATTTTATGTTAGGAATAAATTTATAAAATTTATAAAATTAAATATTTTTATCAATAAACAATTTAAAAAATAATCAATTATATAAAAAATTTAAAATTTTCAGGATCGACTGTGTTTACCAAATCCATTGGTCCATCCCTAGATGTAAGTTGTGCGGGAAAGGATTAGAAGGAAGATGGGGGGCTATTTCCTTAGGAGATTTTAATGATACTAAGGAATTAGAAGAGGTTATTCTTGTAGAAGTTGAATGTCATTTGTGTAGAAAAGGTTATTCTTCACAGCGTTATTGACGTTTTATCTCTCTAAATCGTGAGGTAATTT